TTTCAAGCCAGGAGGGAGTGTAGAAGCAGGAAACTCCCAAGAGGTCATCAGGTCACCTGAGGCACACAAGTCAGGCACCTGGCCCTGAGAGAGTCCATCAGCCATTCCATCAGGCATTCCCTGAAACTTTCAGTCCACCAAGTCCTGGTCCCAACAAAACTTCAGCTAATTAGCAGGTCAGCCTGGAATTTTCCACTTCAAGACACTGTAAGATCTGTTTGTTTTGTCCTAACTTCTGTGTCTGGCTGCAAGAAAGAAGGCGGGAGGCAGAAAGGCTGAGCAAGCAGTTTATTGCTCCAGGACAGCAGCTGAGACAGAGCCCTTAGAGTGGGGTCAGCAGCTACTGCCAGCTCTATAGGGGGGGAGGGTCTCTTATATAGATTCTAAACTCAAATTCCAAAAGGGTGACTCATTACTATGTCCCTTGATGTAAGGCCCAGTTCGTTATCACCTTCAGCTAGTCCCATCCCATCCCGGATGCAAGGCCCCATTAATTGGATGCAAGGCCCAATTTATTATCACCTTATACCTTATCACCTTTGGAAGCAAGGCCTGATTTATTGCTGCCCTTATCAGTCCCTCAGTAAATCTCTGCATTTGGTCACTCCCAACACTGTTGTGCTATCATTCCTTGTTACTAGATAACTCATACATAAACATGTGTCATTTTTTTAAGTGAGATGACAATAAAGCTTAGTTTTCCTAAAATAAGAAGCAAAAATTAACTCAAAAGCTCGTGAAGTAGTCAAGTTATTTTCATTATGAAACTTAGTGGAGCCTTAGTTTTATAGGACAAATACACCATCATTTAAATAATGATGCAAAGAACAGATTTAAGATAGCCATACCAATTAAAAATGAAACAATTTCATATGCCAGAGTTTGATTGTGTGTGTGTGTGTGTGTGTGTGTGTTTGACTACTTCAAGGGAAGGAAAAATCAATTACGGTGCTTATCTGAGGAGCAAAGTAAAGGGAAGAAATAAAGGGTTAGTCTTCTTAGAAAATAACTTTATCAAAAGAAGTTCAGGTATCAACAAAACCATATTTATCTCTGTTAACATAGACCAGTTCAATTATTAAATATATTTTTTGACAACTCCAAGTTTTTTTTTAAAAAAATTAAATACTCTTAAACTTAAGTATTAACTCCCAATATTATAAATTTTTTAAATAATATAATAGTTTATTTTTACATGATTTTGTGCATTTTTTCACCTCAGTTGTATCCCCATGGGCTTCCCAACACCAAATCACCCGTGTGTCATCACCATAGCCAACATTATAAATTTAAGTCATGCATACTTTAATTAAGCCATTACATTTTCAATTTGTCTTTGCTTATCAAAGACAAAGTTTTACCAAAAACTTTAGATTGGGATCCCAAAATTTCAATTTTTTTATTAGAAATTATATAAGTACTGTTGTGCCAGGTTTCAAGTTTCCCAAAGACTACCAAGGAGCCGATTCCGATGCAAAGCACACGAGGGTCTTTATTGCAAGCTGGAGCCTGGGCTCCCTACATGCAGAACACAGCAGCCAAAGTTGAAAGCCCTGAGCTCAGGGAAGGAAGGGTTTTTTATTATAGAAAGGGGAGTTTCAACCCAGCAGAGGGGAGTTTTTGCTCAGCAGTACATTGATGGTGGACATTGAACAAAGGTGTCTTGACTTAACCCAGTTGACCTATGCATGTAAGATGTGACCTTCACTACCCAGCCCACATACCTTAGGACTTCTGGCGTTTTCCTGATATTTACTGGTTACTTGCCTACTTACTAATTGGCTGTTGCTATGGGATGAGCAAGATTAGGACATTTAAAGTTAAACTCGGCCTTGGCTCCTTGTTGATAACCAAAACTGAGGCCTGGCTGGTTCAGAAGCATTCTGAAGCCTGTCATGGCATCAGTTTGGTCTTTCAGTACCATTTAGAATAATTTTAACACAATGACCCTCCATAAACAAAAGATATAAAGGCAAAGACACAAGATCTCTTTCATTTAGAATTTTGGTCATTCATACTAATTTTTAGAGATAGTTCTTTTACCAATATTTGTGTCAACAGTGACATTAATGTACTTGTAAAAATATTTCATTTTAATTAACTTCTTCAATAAGAAAACATTTCTCAAGTTATATTTCTAAGAATGCCTCATGGTTTCCAAAGAAAGTGGGGCAGAAAATACATTGTGACCGTTCTAAATTAAGGTTTTGTTTTTTAGTCAAAGCAGTTGCTAACAGAGATAGAAACTAATGTCTTTACATGTTATAATCAGTATCCCACATTAATCATTTTAAAACTTCTACAGCCCAAGAATGGAGACATTTTATTTATTTATATTTTTAAAGATTTATTTATTTATGCATACAAGAACTGGGGTACAGGTCAGAGATGTGTGGTGAGAAGTCTCATCTGAGACAGAGTGGGGAGCAGAACAGGCAGATGTACTGAAATACACTGCTGTCAGTGGACAGGACAGGAGAGGTCTGCCAGACCATGTGGTTCAGCTTTCTGCCCAGGGATGGAACTCATGCTGCAGTGGCTGCTGATAGATTCATAATGCCGTGCTTCAACCCATAGTGCCACTAGGGAAGGCCCTAATGTTCTTCATTCCCATGGCTTGGATAGGGGTCTCCATAGACCCTTCCTCCTCAATCAAGTCATATTTTGACTTTTTTTTTTCATTCACATACTTGTGCAACATGGTATAGTATTGCTTCTCTGATTTGAAATTATATAGTTGTGAAATCTGCTGCCAGTCTTTAGTTGTTGGAAGTTTTCTGTGACCTGGATGTGAATCCTCAAAGAAACATTTAACATTCATGTCTGCCATCTCAGTTGCAATACGTTTTGCCTCATTTGTAAAGCACTCAAGCTCCTGCTCCTTATAAATGTCCCTAAATTTCAGCTGCATGAAACTAAATGGAGATTGGCAAGTACTCCAAGATGAAATAATCATAAGAAGGATGATAACCACAGCTATCAGGACCCAGCCAGCCACCTTAGGAAAACAAAACAGAATAGCAGTTTAGTCACATTATATGTAAGAAACTTGTGAGGTTTGAGTTACTCCCCACCTAGTTATGTCTTAATCCCTTAAGAAAAAGGATGGCATGACCTCCAGAACTCCTTTCTTTGTACAACTGCTTGCTGGATGAATCAATATTCCAAGTAAATGCAGAAACTCAGGGAGAACTGGAACTCAAAATAGGAAATATCAGCAAACCCAGGGAAACAAGTATTGCTTTCCAAAACCCATTGAACTCCAATAGTGAGGTGTGGAGCTTTACAGGCAGACCCACTTTATTATAACAATTCTGCATTGTTCTGGCTAACTCCTGTATTCTCTATACAGAGTGGCTGTGAGATGTAAAAGAAGATGCTGGAGGCAAAGTATAGAGCTGGTCATATTACTGGAGCTCTGTTCCTTTCCAGAAGCAATCTGCAACACTTAAGCCCACAGAAACCACCTAAATGTCATTAGGATCAGTTAAGGAACAAGGAAGCCTTCTAGGGCAAAAGGGTCAACAGCTAACTGCAGCAGTTGGGGTACCCCTGCCGCACAAGCCCCTTGTGCTTTCTTTACACCCCTTTCAAATGGCAGCAGTGGAGAAGGCTTTTAAAAACGCCTTGCTCTGCCCTGCTCTCGGATGCCCAGAATAAAACTCTTTTTGCAAAAATACGGAGTGGTTCAGGCTTTGGCTTTCTGAGCCGCCAGCCACCGTGCAGTTCAGGTTGAGAATAAAGGGATTTAAGCGGTAGCTACCGAGTTTGTCCACAGGTGTCTCATACCTGGACAGGCGATTTCACCTCACCGGGTCCGCCTGACAACCCTATCTCCTGAAGCGTGAGCCCCTCTTCCCACCACCCCCTGTAGCACCACCTCCAAACCTGGGATTGGGCCTGGAGCTTGCTCAGGAGACCCCGCAGGTCCGGCTCTTTGTCCCGCAGACAGGGCAACTCGGGCAAGATCATGGAGCAGTTTTTTGTGTGCCTGACGCATATGCGCCGCGCTAAGTAGGGAATTCCGCTGGCAAAGCACTCATAGTAGTTGCCCCCTAGCAGCGCCACAGCCACCCAGGTGAGGGGCGCGACAATGGAGACAGTGCTCATCTTCAGGAAGTTATCACAGCACTGACAACAAAGGGTGCAACAACCTTGGTTGTTGACCCACAGGCAGCAACCTTGGCTGTTGGCCCGCTGGCAGCAACCGGTCATCAGGAGCCTGGCTCGTGTGCTCATCCAGTAGCCCAAGAGGAAAAGCGCCAGCGCAGGCACCAGCAGGAAGACCAGGCCATAGGGCAGGTTCCAGGTGGGGTGGCAGGGGCACTTGAACACTGTGGTTGAGAAGATGAGCTCCCCGCCTGCTGTCAGCCCTGTCAACACGCCGTAGCCCAGCGTGTGGCCATACTTGAGCAGTATGTCCATCAGTTTGGGAAACTTCTCCATGAGGTTCATAGCCTGGGTTGCCTTTTCTAGTCAGGCCTGGATGCTTCTGCCTCTTTGCTGCTTCAGCAATGCTTTGTGTGGGCTAGAGTCTGGAACTTCCTGTTCTTTATTTTGTCCCAACTTCTGTGACCGGCCACAAGAAAGGAAGGCGGAAGACAAAGAGGTTTAGCAAACAGTTTATTGCCCCGGACAGCAGCTGAGACCAGACGGAGCCCCTAGGGTGGGGTCCGCAGCTACTGTCAACTCAATAAGGGGGAAGGGTCTCTTATATAGATTCTAAGTTCACATTCCAAAGGGGTGACTCATCACTGTGTCCTCTGATGTAAAGCCCAGTTTGTTATCACCTTCAGCTAGTCCCATCCCAGATGCAAGGTCCCATTAATTGGATGCAAGTCCCAGTTATCACCTTATCACCTTTGGATGCAAGGCCTGATTTATTACTGCTCTTATCCAGTCCCTCCGTAAATCTCCATATTTGGTCACTCCCAACATTCTTGACAAGAAAAAACCCAAAAAACAAAAAAACGACAAAAAAAAGCTTTTCAAAACAAGAAGGGGTCTTCACAAAGTTTCAACATCTCCACCCAACCAAATCAGCTTTGGCACATAAACTAAATCAAGAACACACCCTTGGATCCCCAGTAACCACACATTTTGTTACCGAAC